CATCAGACACAAAGTAGGCATGCTTTCTATAGAGCGCCTGGCACTGAGTAGGTATGCTTTATGTGAAGTACTCTGCACAAAGTTTACTTTATGTAGAGCACTAGGCACACAGTAGACAGGATTTATATAGAATATCTGGCACTTTCTGGAGAGTACCTGGTACAGAGTAGATATGCTTTATACAGTTGCCCTGCACACAGCAGGTGTGCTTTATACAGAGTACCCAATATAAAGTAGAAGTACTTGACATAGTTTTTTGCACTGAGTAGAGTCCTGGCACACAGCAGTGCAAGTACGAGTGACCTGCCCCTTCCTTTTACTCCCTCTTTTTGGGGATCCCTCCTTTGTTCCCCCTAAGGCCCTCATACAACATCCCATATCCCAAACTAGGAAATTTAGGCCCAGGTGGGCTGGCACTGCCCATAGTCAGAGCAAGGATGGGGCAGAAGGAGGTCTCCACTCAGGGTCACCCGGCTCTTCCCTCTCCTGCCTGGACCCTGTCTGCTCATAGCCCCTCTCTCCCTTAACCCCTGCACCTCCCCTCTGTCCTGTAAACTCTGATGCTGAGACCATCCTCCAGGTTTGCTCTTCCATCTGGCCTTTGTATTCCTAGTATCTGATCTGAGTAATCATTGGAGAGGCTGGGTTCTTTGTCCCTGCCCCTAGCAGTTGTGTCTCCAACTGTGCCCTTCAACACCCAGAGACAGGACTTGAACTCTTGCCAGTCTGTGCGTCTGGAGTCAGTGGCTTCCTTCTCCCAGCCTCCTAATTCTGCACCGAGAAATGGTGCATGACATCCTCCCGGCACATGCACGGAGAGGAGCTGGGAGTTGTCCTGGGACAAGTCATGACCTGGCTCTGTTCAACTGGCAACAGAACTTTCAAGTTCTTGGTTTTACCTGCTGCACACTGCCCTTGGAAGGGCAGGGGCCATTGTAATCTTTGGGGCTTAGATTCACCTTTGAACAACTTACCCCCACCCTACAGGGGAGGTGCTAAGCCCTGAGGGTTCAGTGCTCAAGCTGTGTCACCCTGAGTTGGTTCCTCTATACCCAGCTGGTCCCACCCCATGCTTTGGCTGACAGCCCAGGCAGGAATCAGGCAGCCAGACATTTGGGTATTGGCTGGCCCAGCCCAGCCAGCCCAACCCAACCTCCCACAGCCTTCCCTAGATCAGAGGACAGAGGTGAACCTCCCAGGACAGAGAGAGGAGGTTGTGTGAGAAGCTGCTCCTGACAGGTGCCAGGCTGGGGGAAGTGGGACTGGGAAGTCCTGGCCCGGGATAGGGAAGGAGCACTGCCCTAAGCTGGGATGGTCACAGGGAGTGAGCGAGCCCAGGAGACTGGTGATTTCTGGATAACTAAGCTTCTGGCAACCTCCCAGTGATTCAGGCTGGGCCTTTCTGAACTCTAATCAGCCTCTCCCTGCCCCTCTCTCTCTCTCTCTCTCCTCCTCTCCCAGCTCACTCTGCCTTCTCCCCTGGAGTTGGTGGACTGGTCATCTTCAAGCTCTTGACCTTATTTAGGGGTTGGAGTCCTTCTCTACTAGGGAGAGCTCAAAGACAGTAACCTCAGTCAGGCATCACTGAAACATAAAAATGCCTGACTTGTACCTCTAACTAATGTGTGTGCAATTTTCCTCTAAGCAAGAAGGTGAGTTAATACTCAGCTAGGGTATTTTTGCCTTTCCCTCGGATTTCTTCTGTTTGCAGTTGATTTGGGAGGTAAGAAAAACAAGAAAACTTAGTTTTAATCCTTAACTGGAGGTGCACAACATCTAAAGTAAATCATCATAAGAGGGTGTAATCGGAGATAAACAAAAATAAGCTTTAGAGAAGAATGCATCTGGGGCATGATTTCACCTCTGGGCAGTTTCAGCCAGACGGTCAGTGTCTCATTTCCTCTGCTCTGCTAACCTCAGGAATTGATGATTTTCACTTCCCAAGATAATGGCTAACTGAAATTATCTGCTTGGTCCCAGTTGCCCCAAAGAAGACCATTCTCTGGCTAAGTTACCTTTCCCCTCCTTCCATCGCTCCTGCTGATTGAAGGTCGGGTGATTCACAGGGACGTGGTGGCTGTCTTACTGCTGGGGAACCCTGAACAAAAGGTTTCTGCAGTTTTATGGACCTGGGGGCTGATGGCAGGAAGAGGAAGGAGGGCTAGCAGTGGAAAAATATTGAGTAGCGGGATAAAGTGTCTCTCAGGGGTGACGTTGAAAAATGGCCTTTTATTATGACTACATTTTCCAAGCATTCACTGTTTAAGCGATGGAGCTCAGGCTAGTTTTTGTAAACAATCGTCATTCAATAAACAGAGAGAGAGAGAGGGGAAAAGAGAGAGAGAGAGAGAGAGAGAAAATCGATGAGCAACATTGAGTAACATGCCTTAATGTGTACTCGTAGCTCCTGCGTGTCCCCTGAAGTTTCCCAACGTTTCCCTCTAGGCTTCTGCTTCCCACACCAGGTCCTTTGATCTTCTGCCTTCAGACCAGGAATGTGGCAGCTCCACCAGCTTGGTCCTGCCCTCAGTGCCTAAGGGCATTGAGTTCTTGATCGTGTTGAATGAAACCTCAACACCTGCTTCTGGTGTGAGTGTCGGGTGCGATTTCGTCAGGCATCGTGGGTCTCCGGTGCAGCGGGTTCCTGCTCTCCCCACATCCCTTGATTGAAGGTGTCACTCTGGCCTCGATGATCTCAGCACGTTTGAAGATGGAAACCGGAATGAACACGTGTGTCCCCCCTTGTGCTGGTTCTGCATGCTCCTGATGAGGCTTCAGGGGGCAGTCCTACTACATGGCCCACTCCTCCATGTCATTCAAGTTTTTGTTCTAAGGTCACCTATTGGGGAGACCTTCCTTGATCACAGAGTCCAGAACAGCCCCCTGGTCACTTTCTAGCATGTCTCACTCTGTTAACGTTTCATAACTGGCTTGTCACTACCTCTACCATGCACGGTTCATTAAGCAGTCGTAGGCCAGTCCCAGGCCAGTCCAGATTCTAAAGGAAGGGAAATTTCATTGTTGGGGACAATGACAAAGAATTTTCAGCCATCACCTTTGGGGATCTGGGTTAGAGGCTGAGAGTCTGTATTTTCAATATGCTGCTGATAATGCCGACACTGCTGGTCTGAGGAGCACATTTTGAGTTCTTAGAGCTCATGATTACAAATAACGTTCCTTCCTTCCCTCAGTATTTAATGGGCATTTACTGTGTGCCTGGATTCACCCTCACCCATGCGGTCAGGTGTAATTACTTCACTGTGTGGCTGCAGCAAGTTACTGCACTTCTCTGTTTCCTCTTCTTTCCTCCTGCCTCTCCCCAGACTAATGTGGGCAGCCGGCTGCTTCTCACCTCCTGCTGCAGTTTAGGGAACCCTAACTCCACCCTTGGCTCTTCTCTGAATGCACCTGCCAGCAGGTGGATCTGCTCCAGCAGGAAGGGAGGAGAATC